GATTTCGAAGACTGTTACAGGTTTTATATGAAACATTTTGACGTTGTTACTATAAGAATAGCGATACGTCCATTACTCAATAAAATTTACAATAATTTGACAGATGTCAAAGGTATGTTTGCAACGTTTTAAGACAAAGGCATGATACCATTCAGGCTAATGAAACATTAGGCTTACGCTACACTATATCATTAGAAAACGAAACGAAAGTCAAAGGGGAAAGTAAAATTATGGTTGACCAATTATAGAATGTTTGAAACCCTACTCACGTAGTGAAGAAAGTGTGACTTGTTTGGTTAGAAGGATATGATATTTATTATTACATGACCCATATATGGAGGCGTTTTGCTATGAAAATAGTTACCTATAGTTGAAAATAGTAAGTATATTGTTTCTTCTTCAATAATTATTATAATTGATTACAAATCTTTAAAAAACATTTATCTACCTATGGCCAGCGTACCTACGTACGTTATAGCACATTATTATAAAAAAAAAATGCTTTCGATACAATGAATGAGACGCGTTAGATCTAGTTACACTATCCATTTCCTGGATCTATCATCAGACAGCACAACGATGGAGGGGTTTACATTATTTTATTTAAGTTTCAAATTCATGTAACACTTAAAAGTAGGTTAAATATAAAATTGAGCGAACATTAGATTTTATAGCTTTGTTAATTAATTGAAGCGAAACTAATATTTAAGCATTTTAAAAAGTATATAAAGCTATAACTTCCTTTACGTAATCTTGAAAGCTTCGGCAAAATTGGCAGACCTACTAATACATCCAAGATAAAATCTGACGGATAAAAAATACCATATTTATAAAAACCTGTTTATTAAAAAAATAATTCTATTTTTGGCAATTTAAACATTTATTCTGTAACTAGCGACTGACTCTCGCTCCGCTCGGGTTCGTCCCTAGTTACGTTTTAACCTTTAGTAAAGATTTTTCAGAGATGAGATATTTTCCCGCAATAAAAGGTATCCTATGTGTTGACCCGGATAACCAGCTAGCATCATACCAAATTTCATCAAAATCTGTTCAGTGGTTTTCTCGTAATGCATTCCCAGACAGACATTCTTCAGACAGACAGACTGACAGGTAAAAATTCTAAATTCGCCTATGTATCGGTAATAATAACCATTTCAATAAGATTTTCCAAAAAATATTTAATGTATAGATTCGACTCAGAATTTTTTATATGTACAGCTGATGCGAATTTATTTGCGTTCCAAAATTTTATTTTTGTTACCACTAATATAGATAATGTTATCAGTATGAAGTCATGAACTTTGTCAAAAATATTCAGTATTACGACAGGTTATTTGTTATTGTTGGGAACGCTTGTGATTTCCATGTAAATAATAATCCAATGAATCATTTTATGACCAGGGAAATTTTATAACTTAATGTTGACTTAATCGTTTATTTACACGCTCTCCTCGATAATACAGTATGCTCTCTACTTATAAAACTCTAACTGTCTTGTTGTTACTGCCTTTTTGTTAATGTTTATTTACTTAATTATTGCAATTTTAACATGTTTAAGAATTATAATATGTTATATAAAAAGTTTAAAAGTGATAGGTGCTAACAATCATTCAGGGAAAGATAATTAAGGAGGTGAAAAAATTAGATGGCGTTGATGTGTATTTATTATACTGCCTCGGTGGTCTAGTGCCTAGCATTACGGCATTAAGAGGCCTTAGGGTTGAATCCCGGGCGGGGCCGAGTATAGTTATTGGGTTTTTCTGTCTAGAAATTCTTAGTAACAACCCGGATGTAGGAAATTGGCGATGTTACACGACCATGCCTGGGAGAATAGGTACGTGTCGCGTTCCTACGCATGATCTCTCGTCGTGTTGAATTGTCGTTCCATCGCAGTTTGAGAGTGATAAGGAATGGAGAATACACGTCATGTCTGCGCACATACGCACTGCACTATATATCTTCTGCGCAGTTAGCTAGTTTTAGTGAGATTGGCCGCCGTAGCTGAAATCGGTCAGGAGTAGATTATATTATTATACGTATATTATCTACTATACAGTATATATACAAAAATAAACTTGTTTGTAACATACGACATCGATGGAACTTTGGTCGACTGTACATTTTGGTAGCAGATGAACATCCCAAGAGTTTATACTCCAGATCATAAAGTATCTCAATGCAAAAGTCACATCGATCCGTGTTCAGTTAACGCTGGAATGATGAACCAAGAAACAGAATATTAGTATAGATGTACAGCTACCTTTGTCGACTGTTTTTATTACTGAATTCTTAGAAAATAGTGACGAACCTCTTTTTCAATCGAGTTCATTGTTTTGATGGTCATAATCACACTCATGCCTTCGACTGTCTCTAAAGAAAACACCCTATTAATAGAAAATTTTGCCGTAAAAAATAGATGTTTTTCCGTGATAAAAGTTAGCTTATATAAATCTACAACCCTCCAACTAACTATATATTAAAATCCCATCAATCCGTAGCTCCTTGCACCAACAAACAAACAAAATTTCACATTTAAACTGTAACATATAGATTTAATACCTCCAGGTAAATTTATAAGAAATCAATTATATTTCTAAGAAATCTATTGTTAGCTGTAACGCCGGCGTGTCCGCGGTCGTGGAGGGATTAAAGTTGAGAAAGCAACAACGAATATGTGACAAAGTCTATTTACTTTAGAAATCTCTATAATTAGGCCTTTTGTTATAGATGTTTGGAAATTGTAAATAATTGACAGATAAGAAATAATCCTGAGTTAAATACATACTTCCCGGAAGTAGTGGGTAATTTGCGGACATTACGTTATCAAATAAAGAATGCGTCACTTCCAGATATCTATGTGACTCAAACTCCAGATTTCCTACACATTAGGGATAGCCAATTAAATATTATCTATATAATATAAACAGGCAAACCACAGATTAACTAATACTTCCTTACGGAAACAAAATAGGTCATTACGTTTTTCTCCTCTGCTTATTTTTTTTGCATGCACCCTTTTTTTTGCATAGTACTTTTTAAAAACAAAAGTTGCCAATAAAAAAGTTTCGAAACAGCTTTTTTATATATATAAGTAAATTCAATTCATATATTTTCCTCAAATTTTTCAACACTACACTTAGATAAGCGACGATTTTGGAAACTTGGTGGGTATCGGACGGACATCAAACGGGATGTTTGGTACTCTCTAGGCAGGCCTCTAGAAATATGAATGGTTTTATACGAAATTAGTTTTAAAAGACAACACATTCAAGGTCGTTGAATAAAGCATAACACAGTCATCAATATTTTTGAGATATTAAGATTTTTTATACTCACAAACTGTAAATGATGATGACTAATGATATATATATATATATATATATATATATATATATATATATATATATGTATGTTCCTTCGTCAACTTGTATTCGCTTTTTACAGAAGCGGTTTTATTTTTATTTTTGTAAATATATTTTTATTAAGACTAACTTATAGTAAGAAAGTAAAACACCATTTTATACAGGTTGTACATATATATATTAGTGTTTTAGTTTTCCAGTTTCTGGATTAAACCTGTTTCAACCAGTCGTATGTATTCCCGTTGGGGGCGTACTTTTGTTTTTGAAATGTTTGTTTGATAGGGAATACCCAATTACTAAATTTTCGAGAACTCGAAGTTGTCTGGCATGTGACGTTGTGTACGGGAAATGGGATGGTTGTATGTAATAATGAATAATGAATGTTATTTACGATTTTATATGTATTATTTTTATAACCTTATCAATTTTTAGGTTATTTAAAGTTAATGTATTATCATTATAAATAAATGACATATAAAACTTATACAAATTATATAATATTATTTAAAAAAAGTGATAAAACCTAGCAACATTTTGTGTCGTTTTGGTGACATTTCAGATACCACATAAACTACCTCTGGTAGCCTGGTATACATCAGCCACATATATGTAGTCAGTCACTAGAGAATACTTAGTAAGAATATAACGAATTCACACTGATTTCGCTAATTTAATACACATGTGACACTACATAGAACCAAATACGGTAAAAGAATGCAATAGTACAAAGTGCGTTACGTAAATGAAGAAATCCGGAAAAGAGTAAAAAAGCGGATACGTTGCATATTCTATAGTAGATACGGTGGATGGTGTGCGTGTGCGCAGTGGCTAGTGTTACACATTCAACAAGACACGCGCAATGATTAATTGTTTATTTACATCTAATATTTGCTATAGGTACACATGTCATTTCTCATATTGCATGCTTCCTTTTGATTTGCACTACATACATTTCATATCAAGGTAAATATGAACTTAATATTGTGTTAAAATAGCTTCAACTAGCTCTATCTATTCTAAGTTCTATTGTCAAGTTATTTAGAGACAGAGTTTATTTATATGTTTGTTTGAACGCGCTAATCTCAGGAAGTAGTAATCCGATTTGAAAAATTATCTTTACATTATAATAGGCTATAGGCTATTTATCACATAATATGTATAAAAACTATCTATTCCATAATAATTAGTAACCATTAAATATTCAAGTTTAACAGCTTAAGATTAACATTGACCTAAAATTTGATTAATAATGATAATTTTCTTAAACAGGTCTTACGTGAAACTAAATGAGAAGTCATTGTTTATTTAAACGTAACATAAAATATTAAAATGCATAGTGCATAGAATTACAAATTAACGAAAATTACATCTCATTGACTAGCAATTTGTTACAAAAAAAAAATGGCGGAAATATTGTTGCGTAAACCTTTTCATTATCAATGACAGTAGACCGTCATATGTTATCTGAGCTCGAGCGTACATCATTAGCATCAATAAAATAATCGGTCAGTTCGTCAGTGCATCACAGACCGTCGAACGCGCGGGTTGTACACATTAAATCATAAAAATAATTTAACGCAATCTCTCGGGCTTATACTTTTGCTCTTAAACATATTATTTAAAAAAATAAAAATAAATATGGCGGAAGGTGATGTGCCGTTGGTGACTAGTTTTGGCGGGAGCGAAATAGAATTTGGCGCGAATGGGAAAGTGTCAAAAACAAATTCAAGGTTAGTTGCGTTTTAAGTTTAAAGTTCATTCTCAACAATTATATTTATTTACGAATTTATTTTATTATTGTTATAACTAAAATAATTACCTGCTATAAGTAAACAGTAAAATATGTAATAAATAATTTCCATGCTGTGTTATAGAATTTGCAAGGGGCGTTTAATTAATTATTATTGTTAGTGATCTAAATACGAATCGATTGATCTACAGTGTTCGAAATTCGAAACATATATGAATAGAATTGACCTATCTATATTAAAAAAAAATAATACCACAATTTAAAGAGTTTTTGTTGTTAACAAATAGTTAATAACTATTTAACAAAAAAAAATCGGTTGACAAAGAGAAGAGAAAAACGCCTATTTATGTATGTTATAGAGATTTATTTAATAATTTTTAAACAGGTTTTTGTATTTCGCTGTATTGTGGATAAAAGATTAAATAATATATTTTCTTCAAAGGTCGTTTTTTGTTGACTTCAGATGCTTAATGAGGTCATTATACAAATATGCCATATAGCTACTTTGTATGGATAAAATTGTATAGTCAACGTTGTTTTTAGGCTAAGCTTAGAATACGATATGACATAATATATTTTTTTTATTAATAATTTTTATTTTTTTATTATTTTTTTTGGAATTTTTTTTTGGACGCAGGAGATAATTAAGCTGAATTATTTCCTACAGTTCACTTACTTTGAATATAAATACCTTAATTTATATAATTTAATGTACTATTTAAAAATATGGACTTTTAAATTTTATTATGTTCATATTTTTGAAAAAAAAAGACTACAACACACAAACACAATTAAATATTTTAATTAAATCAGTAATATCTGAACAAACATAAAGCGACTGTTCCTACGTTATATATACAATTTACAATACAAAGGAGATATTTTTAAATTCAGTACCGAGGCAAGGGACACTAAAATGCATAATCCATACAAATATAATAAAAAATATAATAAAACTATCTTTTCGAATAATCAAATTGCGAAATTATCCAAAAATATAGTTTTATTTAAAATGTCAAATATTTGTGTAAGTCTAAGAAAGTACCTATTAAAAAAATATTAAAAAAAAAAACAAAACAAACACAATTTTATCAAATGACTCAAAACTCGAAAGTTTTACGACTACTTTAGCTTCTCTATCAATATTCTGGCTTCATCATCAGATCAACGGTATTAATTTACAAATTACAAGTAAAAATAAAAATATTTTAAAAATCTATACATATAATAAAATTCTAATTGCGTCGAATCTGTACATTAAATATTTCTTTGAAAATCTTATTGAAATAGTCATTATTATCGATACAGAGGGCGAATGTATAGTTTTTAGAATTTTTGTCTATCTGTCTGTCTGGGAACGCATCACGAGAAACCCACTCTACAGATTTTGATGAAATTTGGCATGATGATAGCTGATTATCCGGGTCAACATATAGGATACTTTTTACTGCGGGAAAATATCTCATCTCTGAGAAATCTATATTATACGTTAAAAGTAACTAGGGACGAACCGGAGCGGAGCGAAGGTGATTCGCTAGTATAGAATATAATACTGAACATACGACCTGCTTTTATTTTGAAGTCGGTTAATAACGATAGAGATCATATACAAAGGAGAATAAATAAAATTGCATGTTTTATACGATTAAGACGCATGAAGGTTGCATATTTAAATAAATTAGATATATAAAGCTTTAATTGCTGAGATGTTCATAAATGCCTGTTATTACTGAACGAAAACGAAACATCTATTTAACTTGTTCTAACTTGTGGTTAATAAACTTAAAAGGACTTCAATGTTTGTTATAGGGAGCCCTTAGGGAGAAAATGGTTTTTTTTTTATAAAACGTATATATATAACATAACATTCTAGTTCAAACAAAATCGCAACTAAGCTACTGTAGAAAATTAAAATATTTTACCGAATTTAACAGGAGGATCAATTTGGGTGTAATTTAATTTAATTTTTGTGTGTTATATGCGAGATGTAGTATGTAATTTAGACAATTATTATTACTAAATAGCGACTGACCCTCTCTTTGCTCGGGTGAGGGCTGACAAAGCAACACAACGACCTATTTTTTGCGACTAAAATTAAAGTTATTATGAATTTTGACCGTAAATACTTTTTTTAGCAAAATAATTGCCTATAACACTATAGTAATGTTTTTATTTATTTAATAAGAATTATCAACATGATATACAGTAACTTTAACAAAATAGACAATTGTACAAAGGAGGTCTAAATGCAACTGTTATCATACTTATAGGTAACCACGGACATGCATAAACAATTGGACGGAGCATTTAAAAAAAAATTAACCGCACTATAAAATATTCAAAAAAAACTAGCTTTCTATTAGTGAAAGAATTTTCAGAATTACTTCAGTAGTTTCGGAGATAACCCCCTACATACAAACTTAACTTCTTTATAATATTGGTGTATGTACAATTGTACATAGATTAATAATTATGTTTCATTTGCGAGGCTTAAAAATGGCAGGATATGTTCTATTGCAGATTTAATTATATTAATTTAGCTATTAAGGACCGTTTTGTTACTGTTTTAATTATGACTACTAAGTACCAAATGATTAGTTAGATCATGTAAGGCATCGTTTTACAAGATTTATTAAAGTTTATACGAGTACGTACCTTTGCTCGCGCTTTATTTACGTAAATTTGCTCCTGCTCCTGAGCTTGCTCAGATAATGTATGAAAAACTGAGAAAATTAAATTTATATACTAAACTAGCATTGCCCGCGGCTCCGCCCGCGTTCAGATACCTAACAACCAAATCCTTAGGTTTTACATATTAGTATACTAATATGTAAAAGTAGTATACTAATTTTTGTAGTTATTGCAGTTTTTGTATTTTTTCTCAGAAATGAAATATTTTCCTGCGGTAAAAAGTATCCTATATGTTGACCCGGATAACCAGCTATCATCATATCAAATTTCATCAAAATCTGTCCAGTGTTTTTCGATGTCTTTTTATGTCTATTTCAATTAGATTTTCCAAAAAATATTTAATGTACAGATTCGACTTAGTTACAATTTTGTTATATGTATAGATAATATAATATATATCTAAATTAAAATAGTCGTCATTTTTAATCGGAAAGATTATTCCTATATTTGGTAAAACAATCGGTTAAATACTCAAACTTCCAATCCCATTTTTATCCCTTTTAAAATATTTCTATATTATTTTATTCATAAAAGATATAAAAATCAGAGTATTTTCAGAAAAGACACCTATTTATAAAAAAACTTTAAAAGCAAAGTCCTACCTAAATACAAAATTTGTTCCAAATCGTTAGAGCCGTTTCCGAGATATCCGTATTAATATTATAAATGTGAAAGTTTGTGAGTATGGATGTTTGGTACTCTTACACACCAGAACGAATGAACGGATCTAGATACAATTTATCACAGATATAGATTATAGTCTGGAATAACACATCGGCTACTTTTTATCCCGGAAAAATATACGGTTCCCGAGGGATAGATTTATTTTTGTCCTTCTAGACGCGAACCCGAGCGAAGCGAGGGTGAGCCCCTATTACGAAATAAATTTCTATACATATATACATAAATTGCTCATTTAATATTATAAGATATAAATAGATATATGCATCGTATGTAATAGTGATGTAGAATGCGAATGATCGATTTTTCACATTCGAGAATGCAAATGCGAATGCGAATATTCATATCCAATACTCGCGAATGCGAATGCGAATGTTATTATTTCATTATCTTTAAGGCTGTTGCTATTCGTACTTAAAATAACGACGAATAAAAAATAATTATTCGTAATTTAATTGGACAGATAATAAATAAAGGAGGCAGTTACCATTCGTCCGAGTATTGTCGGTTTGTATGAATATTTACTACTTTTTTTGGTTTCTAATGTAAAATAAGTGATTTTTAGGTGCAGCAGTATCTATATGAAAAAAAATTGCTTAACCTACGGCGCTAAAAACTTATTCTACTTACTTATTTATTAGTCTATTGATCATCCTTTATAATTAACACACACACATATATATATGTCACAATACTTATAACTCATGAACTGCTGGACCCACTTTCATAGTTTTTATTTAATTGTATTTGTTTCCGCCCCGTATAGCAGAATAACTATTAAAACATCAGAAAAAAGAAATTAAAATGTATATGGCTAACGCTGCCTAGTAACCAACTACCGAGCTTCGCTCGGAGTTTTCGGTCTACAGTACGATTTTCTTCTTTTTTTAAAAAAGCTAAAAACTTGAATAAATAACAAAAAAAACAAAAGTAAAAACTTTGTATCCGCCCGAGATTCGAACCTGTGATTGTCGATCTTGCGCCTTGGCCTCTTGACCACGATGTTTATGGCAGAACGTGCGAAATTACCGATCATATTTTGTGTGGAATAATGCCAAAGAAAACCGTATGAAAACTCGAGAACAGGCATTTTCTCATTCATTATATATTCTAAATTTCATGAAAATCATTAGAGCCGTTTCAAAGCTCCAAATATTATAAGTAAATGAAAAAATATAAATCTTAACAATTGTATTATCATTCCATACATAATTTCCTTTTTATTTGTCAAATACATTCGCCAAACATTCGTTTCTTGCGAATACGCATACGAATGCAAATGTGAATGCGAATATTCGTTACATCACTAGTACATAACATCCTCCTTTTTTAAAGTCGAACAACAAAATTGGATTTCTTTACAAGTAATCTATTTTATAAAATCTGGGTCAGGTCACGGTCGTACTTAGCGTGGCTATTGCTGTTTTTTTTTATTTATGCATTCATTTCAAATTATATTATAAACTAGCGACTCACTCTCGATTCGCTCGGGTTCGTCCCTAGCTTACTTTCCAATACAAACTTTCATCCCCAATTTCACCTCCTTAAGGGATGATTTCCGGGATAAAAAGTATCCTATGTCCTTCCCAGGGTCTCAAACTATCATCT